ATACATATATATACACATATACATATCCATATACATAATCATATTCATATACATATACATATACATATACATATACATACATATATATATATATATGTATATTTATTTATTTATGCATATACATATGCATATACATATACATATACATATACATATACATATACATATACATATACACATACATATACATATACATGCATGCATGCATGCATGCATGCATGCATGCATGCATACATACATATGTACATATATATATATACATAGATATACACACATACCCATGCATGTATGTACGTACACGTGTGTGCACGCAGGCGTGTATGCATGTGCACATGTATGTATGGATGTATGGATGGATGGACGGACGGACATATGTGTATAGTGTCATGTGACTATACTTGTATGCACAGCTACATACAGTGTGACTTCAAAGATGATTGTGTTGTGGTCTTTGAAGAGCCCATGCTGTTCTGGCAAGCCGCGCAGGACACACCAGACGCGTCCGCGGGCCACACGGTGAACGTGGCCTTGCGTGCCTCAGGATTTTGGCATATGCGGGGCGACGTGCGAGCCCGCTGATGGAGTTTTCTGAAGGCAGAACCCAACCCCAACCAGTCTGAAGTGATTCGACCACCGCACCTGGTCGCGAAGGATTTTTGGAGCTGCAGTTAACGTTGGCAACGGCATTTGCAACCGGAAAAAGAGTCGATATTTCAAACCGCTGTTCTACATAATGGTTCCAGAATGGCAGAGCCCCAACAACGAGGATTGGGGTGACGATCCCGCCGCAACCCTCAGCTGCGAACAAGTCAACCCCTGACCCGAACTCAAGGATAGAAATGGATAGAAATCAAAAGCTGGTTTTGGTTTGCAAGGATCTGGGTTCTGCTGGCCGGGCGGCATCGAGGTCCATTTCCAATTCTATCCAATCTCCCAGCTCGAGTGGCTTCACGCCTCGGAATCTTGCCCAACGGTATGCTCTAGGTGGTTCATGCTGGCAATACGACAGGCAGTAGTTCGGAGCAGCCAGCATTGAGACCGGAAGCGCAGTGCCCTGCTCCCCGGAATAGTGTCAGCACTATTCGCTCTGGTACGCTGCCGCTTTCGCTCTACATTTCGAAGTTTTGTTAAGGAGCAGTGGCCGCCGCAGCAGTAGCAGCAGCTGCAGTAGCTTTGTAGTAGTGGCCGTAGCAGTGGCAGTAGCAGTAGCAGTAGCAGTAGCAGTAGCAGTAGCACTAGTAGTAGCAGTAGTAGTAGTAGTAGTAGTAGTAGCAGTAGTAGTAGTA